GAAATTAACAGCCATATTGGTCTAGAAACGTTCAACATAATTTTTTTCCATTTGTACAGGGGTAACACACTGTATTAAATATGTAAGGTCTTAATTTACATGGGTTTGATTACAGAAACTAATAAAGTATTCTCTAAATAAAAAAAAAACACAAAAAAACTTAACACTAAATTTGCATACTGCAGGCTAGTGGGGCAGGGCCTCACCATCCGCCGCCTGCCCCAACCGCAGGATTGGGCCTGCTGTGTGCGACCCGGGGAGGTGGGGCAGGCACCGCGGGATCGGGCCTGCCATCTGCCACCCGGGAGCGGGCCTAAGCCAGGAGGTGGTTTTCGCCTGAGGGGTCCCAGACTGTGAGAGGGCACAGGTCGGGCTGAGGGACACCCCCCTCCCCCAGCCAGTGCACAGATTGTTGTGCACCGGGCCTAAACCTAAGCGGCCAGTTGGTATGACACACACTGACCACCAGGGGGCAGACACACAACACAGGAGCTGCCCCCTGGTGGTCAGTGTGCTCCCACAGTGGGAGCACTGCTCAGCTGACCGACAGGACAGGTGCCAAACGCTGGGCTCAGGATCATGATGGGCGAGCTGCAGTGACAGTAGGTGCAGCGGGGCCGGGATGAGTGGGAGCCGTGCGGCACTGGCCCCTCCCCAGCCACCTGCTGCTTTGCACACTACTACATCCCTCAGGGGATGTTAGACTTCCGATTTCGGCCTATCCCTGCAGGCCCCACTGAGGGACCCCACCAGTGCACAAATCTGTGTACTGGGCCTCTAGTAAGGTTTGTAAAGTTCAGCTTCTATCAATGTTCTCTGGACTGCTACAAGCACATTTTGGAATAAGTTAGGATATAAACAAATAGCATTACCATCACCCCAGAACTTGTCCTCTGCTGTGCAATCTAATTATTACCAAATTATAACAGATCACACCTCCTATTTTCTTCCTACCTTGCAGAGATTTTACCCTTCAAATATCTACCGTTTTCCTTTCTTGTAACTGAGTAAGAATACTAATGTGGTTCACAAGTAATTCTACTTAATGCAAGTGGGGCTCTCTCAAAAACCATTTCCCAATTTTGAGACATATGAGCATGGCTTGCCTCATTTGAACAAAGCCCCTGAACCAGCAGTTATGGCTTTAGCTCTGCTATACTTGGTACAATGCTGTTCTCTGTAGCACTGCACCTGCTGATTAGATGTCAGCTGCTTGGAATCTGAAGATCCTTATATGCTGGGTTCATGAAATAATAAAACGTCTCTAAGAGTACAGATTGTAAGGGTAGCTAGACACACTGGTCTCTATCAACCTTGGGGATGGACTACTATGGTAAGACTCTAACTTAATCTTAGCTTTGGCTAAGCTTACACAAAAGTTAAACATGCTCTACTTCAAAATCTGAACGCCTAATTGTGTCTTGGATCTTCTATCCTTTATTTGTTGTAATATTCCACATCAGCATTAATAATCTCTAGAATTCTATATGCTGGGCTGGGCAATGGATCGGGAAACCAGGAACATCAAGGTTTGGGAAGAAAAGCCATCATCACCTTAGGGTACTTCTCTAGGAACTGCTGTATAGATGGTAGGGTAAATGATAATAAAACAATACATTTCCAGTCAGCTGTATTCACAAAGCTTCATAGGACAAAGAGTAGGCTACCATTATAAACTTTATTATAATTATGTCAAGTTAGGTTTCTGACTGAGTGACCATTTTCACTTTAGCAGGGCTTCCTGTAATTAGATATGAGTGAAATCAGGAGGCTGAAGGAAATAAACCAGAATGGTTAATTTTTACTGTGATGATAAACCAAAACACATTTTGGGGATTTCAAAAGAAGCTGTCTCCTGCCCTAACCGGTTTGGCTCAGTGGATAGAGCGTCGGCCTGCGGACTCAGGGGTCCCAGGTTCGATTCTGGTCAAGGGCATGTACCTTGGCTGTGGGCACATCCCCAGTAGGGAGTGTGCAGGAGGCAGCTGAACGATGTTTCTCTCTCATCGATGTTTCTAACTCTCTATCCCTCTCCCTTCCTCTCTGTAAAAAAAAAAATCAATAAAATATATATTTCAAAAGAAGCTGTCTCCTATCTTATATCTTACTGAATGTCACCAAAGTGAAACTGGTACTATCTGTTTTGTACATAGATAACCAGCTTACCAATCTGTCCCTAAATTGATTAGGATTGTGAGAAAAGAAAAATTCTAGATCAAGTTAATGAAAATGAACAAGAAAAGAAGCCACTCAAGACCTTATAAAATTAAAAGCAGATGATAAATTTATTTTAAACTCTTCCACGAGATAAGTGTACTCCCTTTGGGAAGTCACCAAAGTAAAAATATGAGTGTACTGTGTGATTTAAGCTATAATCTGGTAAAAGAAATGGCCTTTCCATTTCTTTCAAGGAAAGAAACATTCTAATTTCAGAACAGTAATCAAAAGTTCTACTATGTAGGCTACTTTCTGACTGGAAAAATGACCTTACTAGTACTTCTAAATAAAAAATAAAAATTAAATAAATTAAATTAAGACTCCTCTGGTAGTCCCGTCCTCCCCCCCGCCCCCGCCGGTAGTCTTAATACCATCAGAAAACTTTAAAGTTCAGCCTGATTTAAAGGACTTATTATTTTGTTTTCTTTTAACTTTCCAGATGTGGTTCAGGGTGTCCCCCATCCCATTTATAAAAAGAGCGTATTGTCCACAATCCTTCACAACTGTGCTGGCTAGCATTTCCCTAATAAATACGAGCCTGAGTTTCTCAGGAAAATATTTTACACAGCAAACAGTTTTTTCTAAATGAGCCACCATTAAACTCTTTCCCTTAGTTCCAGTTATTATGACAGTACTTGCAACTTTTACTGAGTTTTTTTTTTAAGCTCTTAAATGGTTAATTGGTATGACTTCAATATAAAAGAGTATTTCTTATTTGGGGATAGGAATGCGGACACTCAGTGATCATTGCTATTTAATAAAAGATGTTATGGGACAAGAAGAGTGCTGGCACATGAATAGAGTGGAGGCAGAAAATTGTGAGAGCCACCTAAGTAGACCCTTCCCATAGAATCTGCACCTTAAAACTAATGGAAGTAGGTTAAAGTCAATAGAAATACTTTTATTTTTGTTATAGACAGAAACTTCCTTATTACTATTCCAACTTCATTACTCCAACAATGGTAGAATAGCAATCATCATCAGTTTAAAGTACCTTAAAGGAAAGGTAAGAGTGCTGCATAGGATCGAATGAGCATTGAGGTCACATAAAGCATAGATGGTGTTTTGTTTTTCCTCTTTCTCTCTGTGTCTCATGCTTTGAAACTTTATTACAATATCTGCATTAAAAAATACGGCTCTAAGTTTATTACCTTTTATTTAAAAAGTATAACCTAATAGAAAAACACACACTTTATCCTCAGTGAAATCTTTAGAAAATCTATTACCGCAAAGTCCAGGCTTCCATAGTTTCAGAAGAAACTATGCTTAAAGTATTACAACCTAATAGATAATAATCTCTCCAATTTGACAATATTACTAAGTAATGAATGTCTGGTCAAAAGGATCTAAAATAGTTGTAGAATCAATTAAAAAAAAAGAAAAGAAGGAAAATTGAAGAATTTTTTAAAAAGAAGAGTCAAACTAGCCCTGGCTCAGTTTGGTTGGGCATTGGTCATCTCAGGTACCAAAAAGAATGCCAGTTTAATTCCTGGCCAGGGCACATGCCCAGGTT